TTTGATGGAGGAACTCTTTGTAGCTAATCAAGAGGAAGATCAAACATTATAGGTTAAAAAAAATCTAATAGAAAGTATAGGAGGGATTGGAAAAATATTCACCCTTGGATGATTTTTGGAAGCAGTGGAGATCATGCATTAAGTGTAACTAAAGATTTCTTATGTATCCCAAGGGAAAATTCTTTTATGGACCTAGAGTTAATAGTTGCAAAGGCATTCTTGCCTTGGCAACCACACAAAATCTCATATAGTTAGTAAAGATGCATACAACAAAATAATAGACTTGAAATCAAGAGATGGTGCCATTTGTGATATAGGAAGAGGAATTGAGAATAGAGCAAAAACAGAATGAAAAAGTGGTTAATATGATAAAAATGGTTTATTTTTTACTCTCAAAATAATCTACCCCTTCTTAAATCAAAGAAGGGGTTTCTCAAGTTTAAGAAGACTCTATAAATTCTAGAAGCTAGAAGATATAGTTTTTATAACAATGTAGTGGGTGGTAGGAATTTCTTACTAGCAACAAAGATTGGTTGTTGTATTGGTTTTGTTTGGTCCCATTAGTTATTTATAAAAAGTGTTTAGATTTGCTATTTTGGCATATCTATGGAATGTAAAACTTGTTTTGAACACAATGATGTTGCTCTTATGTCCAAATTTACAATTTAATGCCATTTTATATTTAATAAATTTTCATGATTATCCCAGAGACTAACTTTTGGGACTGAGGAACAGTCTTAAAATATGTATTTCTTAAGTTCCAAATATATAATAGGGGGTTAGGTATGGTTGATCAACTTGAGACATAGTGTAACTCATGCTTACATGTCTATTTTTATTTTGCATTTGACATGGGTCTAAGCTCAAGTTCTATACTATGCTAACTGGTGATGGACCTATATCTTTATGTTATACCACCAATATATTAAAATAGCATAAGAACTCTATTTAACTCTATTTTGTATGTTAATTTTGGCATTAAGATGCTAAATGCTCTAGGACTGTTCCAAATTGCTCTATATCCCTTCCTTTTGCTCCTTAGGCTATATGTTTAAGAGTTATTCCATACTCTACTTCCTTTGCTTTTAGGCTCTATGCTCGGGAATTTAGCTCCATCCCTTCATTTAATAATCCAAGGCTCTAAAATTCAAATTTCACTTCACTGCCCTTGGACACATGGCATGTGGCATGTTACACATGGAAGGTTAAGATTCCGCTTTATGGTTATCCTATAGTAAACCACTATAAAGTAGAGGGTGGAAACCATATGTGCTACAATGACCTCCCGAGAATTCTAAAATAAAAAACTTATAAATAACTAACATAATGGAATTAAAATGACTCTATACTTTACTATATATATGAATTATATCCTAGGACAAGTCCTTGGTGGGATCTAAGTTGGAAAGATTTATTTATAAAGTTAGATAAAATCCTTTAGATTTACAAAAGGAATTTGCAAATAGTTTAGGCTCAAGTTGAGAAGTTTGCCAACAAGAGAAGGAGGTTTCAAGTATGTGCATGTGAAAGATGCAATACCATTGTGCATTTGTAAGATGGTAGAAATGACAAGTTGTCCCCACAGTAATTTGGTCATTATCCAATTCTGGAATAAGTCAGTACAATAACATAATATCAATTAAAATTAGCAAGTTGAAAGGTATGCTCACAAGGAATAAATCCCAAGTAAATTCTCTATAGATATTTCAAGAGGCTAAGGATGATATGCTAGAGGATTTAGCCAGTTCTAGAAAGTGTAATCAATCACCAATGTGCTATCCTTGCACCTCATTAATCATTTAAGGATTCTAGCATAGCTAAATATGTGATTAGTATGTTTATTAGCCCTAATTTAATCAAAATTAAAGTGGAGCAGAGTCACTCTTAGCCTTGGCTATCTTCCTCTGAATTTGGAACCGATAACAGGGTTAATGACTGGTACTAATAATTCTTCACGCTAGTGCTCTTCTCACTAAGAGAAATTGGCTCTGAATTTCCTGCTTTCCAGACAAAGATCCTTGCCTCTTCTAACGTCTAGCTGTTTTATCTTGGTTTTGTGTTTTCCTCCTCTTTACTTGCTCCAATTTTTCTACAGCTTTCTCCAAAGCCTCTCTTTCTCTTGCACACATAAATCAGGAGAAGATTCTTGGCTTCTCTTGCTCAGCGCTCACTCTTAGCCCACGAATGTAATCTTCCAGCACAAGATGTGAGCCCACTCATGCACCCTCCAAGCAAGATCAAGTTGACTGCAAGTTAACCCCAAGAATGACTCCAAAAGAAAGCATTGTGAGCTAAAAACACAATTGAAAATCCAAGGTTCTTCCATTGCTTATTTATATCGCACTCCATTACTCTCACACCCATGCCTTCTTTCTCTCCTTGCTTCTCCTTCTATCCTCCCACTTCTTCCATGGTTATCTTCCCATGTGTTTCCTCTCTTTTTAGTCTTTTATTACACCTCTTAATGCTCTCTCCAACCCAAGCTCATTCTTCCAAATACAAGAACACTCAACCCGGCAGAGGCAGGCAGCTGCATGCTGCAGTCGATCTAGAGGTCCCCATTAGCATCAATCCATAGCTATTCTCTGTTTTTTACACACTCGTTCTTTCCCTTGCTTTCCTTGGTTCCTCAATGAATCATATTGTCCTTCTAACTCAAGCTATATTATTTTTCTCTAGGATTTCTAGGATTTTTCTTATTGAAAATCCTTCATTTCTTCACCTTTTCTATTCCAAATCAAGGTGAAAACACTTACCTTTGCCTCCAAGTGCATATTGAAAGTGCATACTGTGGGAAGCTGACAGTAGTCACATACAAGTTCCTCACTGATTATTAATGTTAATGTTAATATTTATGATAATAAGATGGTCCTAACTGAGAATAGGTTTGTTTATATGCCCAACTAGGAAGTATAGGAACTAATGAAACTTTGTTATTTTACAGTCCTTAATAGACATTAGCAACATTGACAAACTTGAGAAAAAGCCATGGCATAAAAGTTATCTTTCAGTTTATAGAAAATTAGATTCTGGGAATTTTGATTCTTATTATTGAATACAGCTGAGAAATCCTTGTCGAAGACTTCATTGAAGGTTGAAGGAGATTTGTCTTCCCACAGTGAGTCATGCATGTATTTTCTTAGCTCTATGTGTCCCTTACGTCTCTTGTCTTCAAGAGCTCACTAGAATTTCTCATACAAAGATTCTGGAGTCAATTACCAAGTTCTCTTTGTCCGTGCCAGTTGATTACTTTGAACAGGAGAACCTGTGTCAACTAGGAGTCAACTTACAATGTCCTCTGAAAACACGCTCACTGGACTATTTCCCTGATGGAGCCCTTGTGGAGGTGTGGTCAACACCAGTTTTGATCGTGGATGGATTGTTGCCTTTACACCATGGCAGCAACCCATGCATCAACCTCCTCATGCTGGAGCAGCAAAGCACAGTATAGAAACTAAAAAAAGTGTTTTTGATACACACGTGGTTAGATTAAAGAGTGTTATCCAAATGCCAGACAAGTAGACTACTGTGCATGGTGAGCTCACCTTCTCCTAGCAAGGTTGGTATTTTGTTGTAAAGAGGACATCTAGATGAAAATAAGTCATCGTTGACCTTTTGTCCAACACCAGCACTCTGAGCACCTTCTTGGTCCCCAAATCAGCTCCTACTAATAGATCAGGGTAGGCAAAATTTCGAAGCCGCTCTGTCGGGCTTGTCATCGAAGTACGTAACATGCAATCGCTCCCCCCGACTTTGTAGTGCTTGGCGGCAGCCAAGAACACTCTCTCCGGCATGGCAGCCACGAGAGCAAGGTCTGGATCGCGCGGTCGGCCAAGCCCCAAACCAGCAGCGGCGAGGCCCGGCCCTTGCTCCAAAACTCTCAGCACCAAGTCGTGGCGTAGCCTAGTCGCCAAGCCATCTCATGTCCAAGCCAGAGGTCTCGAAATGGACGACGAGATGAGGACTGGTTTGGAGGCGATGGTCCGATCCATCGAGAGAATCAAGTCCGAGGTGATTCACCGCGAGAGCCAGGGTGATCGCTTGCTCGAAAGCTGGCCGCGGGTTGAGAAGTGAATGCTTCGCGGCGCTTGACGCTGGCGACGAGCTCGGACGAGAGGAGCGGCGAGTTTCCTGTGAGATACTTCGCGTCGGCCACCACTCCATGCTTTGCCAGGAACGCTGCAGCCTCCACGTCCGAGACTCTCTGGAGATGGCGGTGATGGATTTCTTCGAGCTCGCAAAGACGAGGATTCGTGTTCGACGTGTGGAAGTCCGTTCTTAAACTCCACAGAGCGCTCGAGCTCGTCCCAGCCATCGGAGATGCAGTACCAGTGATTGTCCGACTCGCGGAGCTCCGTGATCAAGTAGTGGAGCTCGTCGAGCGTCTTCTGGAAGGCGATCTTGCGCTGGATGGCAGCATCGTCCCAGAAGGCAAGCCACAGCGCCGAGCGAAGCGCGAGGAAGAACATCGATTGAGGGGAAGGGACGGCCGGGAGATAGACAAGCCTTCGTCGCTCCACTCCATGCCTGCGATCCATCCCGAAGTCTCGCAAGCATCGCAAGCATCGCAATGCCAGCATCACCGCCCCACTACCAACAGCACCATCGAGCTCGAGCGTTCTTGCCTTTGGCAGCGCCAAGAACTCCTCCAGAAAATCCCGAAAGCATGCCCTTCCTAGCAGCCAGCTTTGAACGTCTAGACGATCGCTGCTGGGCTCCATCAAACTCGGCCACGGCATCTCATAGGCGACGCCCTCAGAAATCGCCAAGATCATGGATCTTTCCCGATCGTCCCACTTCTAGAGGCCAGGTCGAGGAAGAAATCGTGCTGGTGCAGGCTCGATACGAGCTGTGAGTTGTCGGCATTCAGCCAGGAGTTTCTGCTGCATCGTATTTTAGTGTGCATTTCTTCCACCTTCCTCCAAGAACCCTAAAACAGGGGGCCTCACAGGTTTACTGTTGGATTAACGTTAATTTAAATTCTAGGGCTTAGGGTTTATATTGGGGAAATGGAGCAATGCGGCATTCTTGCGCTCCTCCAAATCGATTGAAAGTGCAAGCTCATGGCTAGTTTCTGCAAGATTGTCAAGCGATTCTATCGTGCCAACAAGCCGATCAAGCCTAACACATCGTAAGTTTTTTGGTTTTCTCTTCCTCCGGATTTTTTCATTGAGACTTCGCAAAAAACCTTTTTTTTTTCAGGTGGCCTGGTTACAGAAATGTTCTTGATATCACGAATCCGGCTACTCTGAAGAAAGTAGGAGAGTTGCAAGAGGACACCATTCCTGATGTACACATTGGTTTTGTTTTTCTTCTTCTTCTTCATCTGATCTTAGTTCTCCATTTTGTGTGGTTTTTTTAGATCGAAAGAAAGCTCGAGTATCTACACACGGGGCTCAAGCGCTGGAAGCTTACACACGTTGATCAACGAAAGGTCTGGTTATTTTTTTTCCTTCTTTGCACACACACGAGGAATTTTTCTTCTTGCAGGCGGCTCTGGAAAAGTTTGCTGATGCTTTGGTAACAAGAAAGGTAGACTAGATTTATCTTCCTCGGTTTGCTTCGAGCAGTAACAATCTTCTTCTACCTGGTATGTCTAGACGACGCTAGCAAAAATCCTCACCTCCGAGACAGGAAAGCCGATATCTCAAGCAAGGAGCGAGATTGCTGCCACTGTGGATCGGATTCACTACTTCGTCGAAAACTGTGAAAAGGTAAAAGCGTCATTCATTCGAAGTTGTCATCTTGGACGTTGTCCTAGGTGATAGGAACGCAAACGGTTCTGGAAAGCTCCAGATTGAAGGAGAAAGTACAGTATGAGCCGCTCGGTGTGGTAAGCTTTTTTTTTCCATAGCACTGTAAAGAAGAAATCCTGGTCTCACTCTTTCCAGATCGCAAACATATCAGCATGGAATTATCCTTACTTCCTCTCTGCGAACGTTTTCGCCCCGGCACTTCTCACTGGGAATTGCGTGCTTTACAAGCCCAGCGAGAATGCGAGCCTCACAGGCCAGGAGATCACAGACATGCTACACAATGTATATAGAAGATTTTTCTTCTTTTTTCTCTGCAGTTTTTGCTCTAACTTGTGTGGACGCAGGCTGGGATTCCAGAGGACGTGTTTGTCATCTCTAGCGGAGGAGCCGACACAGGCTCCAGGATTGCTGGAAATAAAGACATTGGTGGATTGTTTTTCACGGGGTCTTACGATACTGGCTTGGAGATTGCGAAGAAAGCCTCTCCAAACCTTGTCAAGGCAAGTACAATAACTTAGATATCATACCTTATGGGTTTTTCTTCTTCTCTTTTTCTTTCTTTGATTTTACAGCTTCAATTAGAGCTTGGTGGTAAAGACGCTGCTTATATACGTCACGATGTCCCCAATATCCTAGCTACGGCAACCACAGTCGCGGATGGAGCTTTCTATAACGCCGGACAAGTAACCTTTCTAGTTGTTTAATCTTCATTTCATGCTTTGTGTACTAGAGTTGCTGCTCTATACGAAGAATATATGTCAACAAGCGGGTCTATGTTCCTTTCATGGAAGCTTTGAAGAAGATATCTCATTCGTACAGGGTAATATATGAATCACCAATTTCTGTTTGTGGATGATACTCTTTTTGAACAACAGATTGGAGATCCTACTTTGGAGGACACTTATATTGGACCTCTTTGCACCAAAAAGCAAGTAGAAAAAATCGGAAAACTGGTATTTACTAGAGCTTTTCGAGATTTTTCTTACTTCTTTTGTGTTCTTTTCATTCCTGTCTCGGCCATCTTTGCAGCTTGCCGAGGCAATTAATCGGGGTGCTCAGGTAGACGTCGGTGGCGACACCACAAACAGTACTGCTCACAAAGTCGGCTACTTCGTTCCTCCGACGGTAAAATTTTAAGTTTCTTCTATCTTCTGAACGAGGGAAAACCAAGGATGGCTTTCTTGCAGATTCTAACAGATGTTGATCACCAAATGTCGATTATGCGGAAGGAAACGTTTGGTCCTGTCGTGGGTGTGATGGTAAGATTTTGATTTGTTTTTCCACTAGGGTCTTGAAGTGGAGAAACTCTCGCAGTGCGTGGAAGACGATGACGAAGCCACCACTTTGATGAGCGACACAGAGTACGGTCTTACTGCCAGCGTCTTTAGCAAGCATCTCGAAGACGCAGAGGCAATTCTAAATGGTTCGCTCGAATTCTTTCTTGTTCTAAGTGATGCAAACTCTTTGGATTTCTTCCGTTTATCTTTTGTAGAGTTGAAGGTCGGCACCGGCTATTGGAACTGCTGTGATCGGGTCTCACCTCGCGTACCATGGTAACTTCCACTTTCTTTTCATTGTTCTTGATTGCTTTCACTCCGGAAATTCATCCCAGGTCTGGAAGAAAGAGGTCTGGTGTTGGCTCCACGATGGGAATCGATGGATTGAGAGCTTTTGTTCAACCCAAAGGCTTCTTTTGTCACGAGCCAATGGCTGCCATTTAAAATTTATACTTAAAAGCATGAAATTTTATTTAAGCGTATAACTTATATTACTTCATCATTTAGTTGTAGTGGATAACTCCCAATTTATATACAGTAAATTTTTGCTAACTAATATAATACATTGATAAGTAATTAACTCTAATAATCTTCACAAGTTTTAACAAGTAAATAATTATCTAGAATAAATAATTATTTTTATTTTTGTAAGTTGTACTAATAAGTATATGAAAAATTATTAAAGTTCATAGATTTTTTAATTCATAGATCCATATGTCATTTTAATAATACATTGTGAGTGCATGGAATATAGAAAAGGAATAAATCCAAAAACCTTAGTTTATATATAGGAGCAAATGGTCTAAATTGAAACCAATTCAATAGCTATCAAAATCTCACTATGCTAATATTAATGTGTGACTGTTAATATTTATATACAACACATAGCCATACACTTCGACCTTATCCCTCTCCTCTCGAAAGAATAGAAGGCAGTTAGGGTTCTCTAGTTGATAGGTTGGGATTTGGAGGAACATCATAAAAAGGCACCATTGGATCTATAGGTGGTATTAGTTATTCCTGATCCTTTTATATAAAGCATTTCAATTATTGCATATGCATAATTTCTAGGGAATTAACATGTTAAATATCATGTTGAATCTCATAAACTTATAATCCAACTTGCCACAACACCCGATACGGTCCTTCTTCCATTGAGCAGGGAACCCTTTAGACAAATCATATGGGAAAATAGATTAAAAGCAAGTCATCTATTTTATACTTTGTTGGAAGTTATAGCATTGTTGTTGTCCCACTTATATATGGCTTACATATTCAATAGACTTAGCTTTGACAAGTGGAAGAATGCTCATCAATACTAATCCTAAGACCTAGCATTGCTAACTCATGGTAATTGCAAAGGTAAACTCAACTCTATTGGTAATATTGGATCATAATCATATAGGAGTTTATATGGTGAAGCACTAACAGAACTCTATACACTTGTGACATATGTATACCAAAAAGATTGGCAAATAATCATTATAATGTAAGCCATAAATTTTTCCTTTCCAATTTATTAGTTTACCTCATCTATCCGACCACCATGGCCTTGCCCTTAGTTAAGTTCCCTCGCCAAGATTCCCACCTATTGTACCAACTCTTATTTGGTCCTACTTGTGTAAGCCACAAATTTTTCCTTTTCAATTTGCCAGCTTACCTCGTTTATCCATCCAACACTGCCTTGGCTTTTGCTAAGTTCCCTCGCCAAGGTTCCCGCCTATGGTACTAGCTCCTACTTGGTCCTACTTGGTTTCAGCTACTCACTGCACGAGCAACGGAGTGTTAGCCATTCATCCACGGATTCCCAAAACTCTCCCAATCCCCCTCCCCGGGTTAGACTGGACTTAAGGTTCGGCTACACTCCCCACAAGCATAAGCAGCCAAGCACACTAAGCTTCCAGGTTCCTAACATCCCTTGGTACCACAAGACTTGATCATGGGACCCTCTAAATCCCAAGTCTTGGGTGCAACACTTGCTTCGGGATGCTGGGGCGAAACACCGTGGCCTAACGGCCTTGTATGGGTACCTCTACCCCCCCACTTCCATCCCGAAGGGAAGGTCCAAGCCCCTAGGAAGGGCGAGGACTAATGAGCCACATGGTACTCAAGTGGGGCACCACTCTACATGAGCCGGGAGCACCGCAGTCGGTTTCCCTTTCGGGAGTGGGAGCTGCTCTTGAGCACTTCCTTGGATGGCCCCTCTAGCACCAACCAAGTCCATACTCACTCCCACCCAAGGCCCCTCGGTCCCAGTCCCAACCTCAAGTCAATTTGGAAGCCCCACTGGAGAGTTCCTTCAAAACTGGTTCCTAGACCTCACTATCCCTACTATACTTTTGGAGCCCCCCACCGGGAGATGCACGCTTTGGGCTTTCACCCCTTGACCCGTATTAGTACTCAGACTTAGTCTCTGGCTCGATCTCAGACTCGATCTCGGATCCGACTTCGGATTCGGTCTCGGACTCGATCTCGGACCCGATCTCAGACTCGACCTTGGACTCGGTCTCAGACCCGATTTTGGATCTCGGACTCCGTCTCGAACTCGGTCTCGAACTCGGTCTTGAACTCAGTCTCTGAGTCGGCCTTGGACTCGATTTTAGACTCTATCTCGAACTCGGTCTTAGAGTCGGCTTTGGACTCGATCTTAGACTCGTCCCATCCGATGAACTCTTTATCATTTTAGTCATGCTTTCGGGGCTCCTTTAGCCTACGACACCTCGGCGAGTTGGTTCCTTACAACTTGCTCATTGCACAAGCAATAAAATGTTAGCCATCCATCCACAGATTCCCAAATTATTTCCTAATCCCCTTCTTTGGGTTAAACTAGAATTAAGATTTAGTTACATTCCCTGCAGACACAAGCAACCAAGCACACCAAGCCTCTAGATTCCCAACATCCTTTGGTACAACAAAACTTGATCATAGGACCCTCTAAATCCCAAGCCTGGATGCAACACTTGCTTCGGGACATTAGGGGGAAACATTGTGGCTTAACGGCTCAGTATGGGTACCCTTACTCCCCCATTTACATCTTGAAGGGAAGGCCTAAGCCCCTAGGAAGGGCGAGGACCAATGAGTCACAAGGTACTCAAGTGAGGCATCACTCTACATGAGTCGGGAGCACCGTAGTTAGTTTCCCTTCCAAGAGTGGGAGTTGCTTTTGAGCACTTCCTTGGGCGGCCCCTCCGGCACCACATAAGTCCAGTCATAGAATTAAAAAAAGACATTCAATGTGGGCATCGAACTTCTTTTATGGGTGGTGGAGTTGTAAGGAACCAACTCCTCGAGGTGTTGTAAGCTGAAGGATCCCCAAAAGCACGACCAAAATGATAAAGAGTTCATCGAGATTGAGTCTGAGACAGACTCTGAGACCGAGTTCGAAACCAAGTTCAAAATCGAGTCCAAGATCTGAGATCGGGTCCTAGACCGAGTCTAAGATCAAGTCCAAGACAAAGTCTAAAGTTGGGTCCGAGATCGAGTTCGAGATCAAGTCTGAGACCGAGTCTGAGGCCAAGAACGAGTTCAAAACCAAGTCCAAATACTAATACAGGTCATGGGGTGAAAGCCCAAAGCATATGTCTTCCAGGAGGGGGGGCTGCAAGGGGTTCCAAAAGTATAGTAGGGATAGTGAGGTCCAAGAATCAGTCTTGAAGGAACTCTCCAGTGGTGCTTCCAAACTTCCAAACTGACTTGAGGTTGAGACTAGGGCCGAGGGGCCTTGGGTGGGAGTGAGCATTGTTGACCATATCTCCGGCATCCCCCAATTTAGTGGTGTGCCTAAGTTAGCCTCTTCAACCAGGAGCCCATAACAATGGAATATAAGTGTTTCTATACCTCTCACCTCACCACGCTCTAGTATAGGGTTGGGACTTGAACCCACCCTTGCTTTACTAAGGGGTTGGGATTTGAACCCAGCCTTTGTAGAATACATTTAAGCTCTATTTCGTTAAAGTGGGATTTATTCAGTAAAATGGGACTAGGTACAAATTTTCAAGTATTTAAAAATGACGTGAAATTATATGTTTTTTGTCCAGGGGCTAGACATATCTGGGGCATGGTGACTAGCGGGGTGACTTTGTGTCCAGACTGAGTCCATCTGGTTGTATAATAAATCTCATTGTCAAGGTGAACAAGCCGAATCTGAAGCTAAAGAAGAGCGATGGCATGCGCGCACACACTATTTGTTTATTCATTGAGCGTGTGGTGAGCTTTCCAAGATGAACGTCATTCCTATTAGCCAGACATATAACTTAATGGTGAGAACATTTAGATATTATTCAATGTTATCTTTTTCTAACGAATCTAATTGTGAAGGTGTAGCAAGAGGCATTGCTAGTCTGGAGAAGTCATTTAACTCATTTGACCCTTAGTGTATTTTCATGAAACTAAATAACATTCATATTATTAAGGAATTTCTCTAGTACCTTTTTTTTACGACATAGAGGCTTGCATTTCTTTCAAAGGTGATTTAGTAAAAGGCCTGAGGGCACATGCCATTCTATTTCTCAGACCGGTATTAAGATATACTAGTGCAAAGGGAAAAAGGTATTTGGTGATCAAGTAAATGGCATGAGGGCACACGCCATTATAAGCCTAAGCGCTAGTGGACACCTCCTTTTTGGTACTCTCAGCGGTACTATCATCCTTCTCCGGGTCAGTTGTTTTGCTTTGGATTGTTGTCTCTGACGTTACTGGGGCGTTCTCGATAGTTGTTAATGTTGCCGTTTGTTCAGAAAAATGATCACCTGGAGTATAGTACGGGGAGTTTGGAAAACTTATATATTCTACATCTTCACCTATCTCCTTCTCCGTCTCCTTTTCTGCCTCACTTACAGATTTTGTGCTTGCCATGAGAACACTCTTCACCCTAAAATATGGAGTTCGTTGTGTTATAAAAGGAAACCAACACACACGCTGCAAGGGAATGATGGTACATAAAGCACGTAAGCCCATAATATGGGTTTATGTGCCATTAATATAGGCCACACGCCATATTATTAGATTTATGCACGTGTGATTGGTAAATGCATATGTCACATCATCTTTGTTTTACCTCACACACTATATCAGGCCTAATGAACCATATCACATGTGCGCACATGCTATATATATGGAGAAGTATTATGCAAGGATAGAAAAATTCAATGCATGATTGTGGAGAGCAATGGCATGAAGCCACATGCTAAATAACATTTTAGAGAAAGAATTAAAATAAAAACATGCAAACAGTACTGAGTGGACCAAGACTTAGAAGTGCACAATTGAATGAGGTATTTCTAATAAATATTTCACTCACCTCATATAGGAATGGCTACCACTCTCAAATGGCGTATCACCTCATGCCATCACCTCGCAATTTGTTATAACAATCCGATGAATTCATATTCGGCTTGTTCACCTTGAACTTTAAGTAAGATTTGCTAGAACAACTAAGAATTTATACTTGTTATTTGTATCATCTCACCTAGGAATGGCATAAGGCCACATGCCATCACGCCT